GAGCCCTGGTACCTCGATTTTCTAGCGAAGACACTGAGAGTCTGGAAGGTGAGTGGCCTTTCCAAGTACATATGATGAGTCCTGGAAACAGGACCACTGACTCTCCAAACCTGTTCTCCCTGCCCTCCACGCTGAGGTTGGAGTGTGTTTGGGGGTGCAGGTCAGAGCACCACCTTGATTTTGGGGTACACCCTAGGGCCTCCCAGTGCTCTCCGCTGGAAAATCAGCGTGCAATAACCCGCCCATCTCTGCTTGGGAGCTGCTTTGCATGCCTAACCCTCATTTTCTTAGCTCCTCATGCTGGATCTGTTTAAATACCTCGGACTCTCCAAACGTCAGAGGATATTGAGCTCCTTGCTTACGAACTCCTAGAACTCGTAAACCTGCGAGGGGCCCGTGCAGCACTGAGCTGCTTGCCTTGGCCAGGAAAGCTTTCCGAACCTGCTGCTGAATGCAAAACCTGAGCACGGTAGCCCTCTCCAGCAGTTGCCATGGCTAATGGAGAAAAAGTGTGTCTGCTTGCTAAGTACAGGAGGGAGGGAGGGAGCAGCTACCTTTCCCCGTCCTTTGTCGAGAAACGCCTAACTGGCACTGAAGATCATGCTAACAAGAGCCCGGCTTCTGTCAAGGAGATTTCCAGATAGCAGTCCACCCCCCACCCCAACACACACACACATAGCAACTGCCCCTTTCTGAAGCCCTCATTGTTCACCCAGCATTTGCACACACATTATCTCCTATGCGCCTCACAACATCACCGGGAGGCAGCGGGGCTGATATTATTATTATTCCCATTCTGTAGATAATGAAAACAAGGCCCAGAGAGATTACAGGCTTCCTGGGAAGTCCCCCAGGTCCCAGGACAGAGCGGGGCTCACACCTAGGTCTCTGGGTTCTTTCCTCCCACCACGCTGTTTCTCACATCATCCTCTTGGCATTATTTAGTTCAAGCATCTAACGGTATTTTAAATGTAAACTAATTAAATTATTTGATTCGTGCTCCGAATTTACCCAAAACAAGTATTCGTCTCTTATTTTAACATTATCACATCTTGATTAGAAACTCAAGCTCTGGACTCAGACCCTGGATAAGTCACTTAGTTTTGATGTGTTAGTTTCCCCGTGTATAAGTCACTTACTTATACCCTTATACTTACACTTATACATACATACTTATACATACTTATACATATATACTTAGGTGTATGACCTTGGATAAGTCACTTACTTTTGATGCATTAGTTTCCCTGTGTATAAAAGTGAGGACCATTTTAGTGTCCTGTCAGGGCTGGGACAGTACTCACCAATCACTTAGCATGGTATCTGATATACCAATAAGTGCTCCATGAATTATAGTAATTAGTATTATTATTGCAAAAGAATTAGAATAGTTTTGAGGGTTGACCGTTTCTGACACTGTGCCGAAGGCTGAGAAGCACCATATCCTATGGCATGGTGATACCATCAATGAGACAGCCAAGCTGCTCAAAATCTTATTAAGGAGATGCATGTGGAATAAAATAAAATGAAATTGCATATAATCCACCGGAAAAATACATGCTACTTCCAAGAAGTTCTCTGAGAATAATGGAGAGATGAAAAATAGTTCAATGCTAACACTGTGTGCCCTGCACCACCACCCCCTGCCTCACTTTCATGGGACAGAAGAGATGTGAGGCCAGAGAAGACTGGATCCAGCCAAGACCACACAGGGAGGGAGTGGCAAGTGGCAGAGTTTGAAGTCACTCAGGACCGTAAGAATGGACCAAAATTCTGTGATTCACGCCTTCCTCTACCCTATTCGATCACGTCTTCATTCATTAAGGACCTATCATGTTTGGGACACGAGGCTGAGTCCCAGAAATATGGTGTCCAAGCAGCACCTACCATCAAGGGGCTGAGAATTAGAGATACTACAGATAAGGCCAGTAAGTCCTTAAATACTGTATATTGGAGTATGGGTGAGTATATAACGCTAAATCTTGCCATTCCCCCTGCATTTACATCCTTTTGGGGGTGTCCTTTATGATGGAGTTTTAGAGGTTGGAGCGAAAGATGGGAGGCCTCTGGAGATATGCATTATGGCAGTCCTGGGAGTAGATACGGAGACAAGGGGAAGAGAGTCGACCCCAAAGACGCTGGTCAGTGCGACTGGCTCTGTCATGTACGTGTGGGGGCTGCAGTGCCGGGGGCCAGAGGGGTTCAGGCTGGGACTGGAGGTTGGGGCCCAGGTGAGCTTCTCTGGGAGATATGAGCATGGCTTGGGGAAGCACCAAGGCCTCAGCATATGACAGGGTTATGGGGGGTGGGAAGCCCTGTGTGGCCTCTTGGTGGCTTACATGAAACTGAAAGACGGAGTCCAGTGGGGTGTCTCCCTGTGGGCCAGGAAGCTCCGCGAAGGAACCCAGAGCCCCATATCCCAATATGCTTCAGATTAATGGGAGCTGGGGAGGAGGAGTAGGTGGGAGTGGAGCTGAAATGAGATTGGCCATGAGTCCATGCTTGTTAAAGCAGGATAAAGGGCCCTCCGGGGTTCCGTAGACTTTTCGCTCTGCTTTTCTATACCTGCAGAATTTTCCATAATTTCAAAGCTGCCTCGAGAAACTTTGTTTTGATGGGGGGAAAAAAGCAGAGATGGGTTCAGAATATGTGTTCCTAAGGCGATGCGTGGTGTGTGAAGGTGACATGGGTTCGAGTTCAGCATTTGGGGGACGGTGGGCTTTGGGCAGCATCCTGAGTGGGGTCTCTGTAGGAGGGGAGGATGAGCGTGGTGTTTGGCGTGGGCAGGCCCTGTACAGGGTAGCACATGGGGGATGGGTCTGGAACATGTGTACCCATAGGAAAAGGCCTGTAATACTGTGAGGTAATCTCCTGTTATTTTTAGGGAGTAAAGACCTCTCTTATGTAGCAGGTTATATGGTTCCTCAGGCTCTGTCTGTGTCAACTAACATACACTTAAAAATTTGAGGGTATTAAGGCCTCACAGGAGGGCCTGTTAAGAACTTTGTCATTCTGTGTTTTTTCTTTATGATGAAATACCCCTAATCCATTTTTAGCAAAGCCGGGGTGATTGCTGAATGTGTGTGTGTGTGTGTGTGTGACAGAGAGAGAGAGAGAGAGAGAGAGAGAGCTGTTTCTGTGGTCCAAAGGCAAGATTTATGATTCTAGAATAGACAGTAGCTCGCTCTCTCCATTTTATTATTTTTTTTAACTGTTTTTCTTTGAAATTCCAGAGTTAATGTTTTGTCTGCTTTCGATCTGACCCTCTTTGGAGAGCTGCATGTTTTTGTGTGTGTATGTATGCGTGTGTGTGTGTGTTCAGCAGAGAGAGATTGAAAGAGAGAGCGAGTGAGCGAGCTGGGAAACAAAGAATGGTTGTCTCCAAACTGTAGCAGGCAGGAAACCCCAATCCCAAGGGAATTTAGCCAGCCAGCCCTGTCCCGGAGTCAGACTCCAGCTCTCTGAATTCAATTTGACAGCTTGTCTGGGACACTTTCTAAGTAACCATTATCCTTCCTTTCTCTTAAGTAAAAGCACTGTTGTTTTTTTCCGTGGGTGTGCTCCGTGTACTGTTATCACACATGTGTGGGTTACACACAGCAACTAGGACATGCTTTCTCTAAATTATTGGAAACACTTAGCCCGTTTCCTAAGACAAGTGTAAATCTGTTCCAGAATAACGAGGCCAACAACTTTCAGTATTGTGCCCTTGCTTTGTGGGAAGAAGGTATAGGGGAATTTTGTTGGGACATTTCTTTTTGTCCTTTAGTTGTAGTTAAGGATTGCATTCCCTTATTTGAAGGAGTTTCTCTGTCTCAGGAATAATTCAAATTGTATATGTTTTATTCCTTTGAGGATATTTTTTTAAATGTAGTCAAGCAAAGATATCTTCCCATGATCATTCTCCTCGGTGTCTGTTTGTTTGATTGATTGATTATTTTAAAGAAAGCGACCACCAGACATTTCCCTGCAGGAGAGAGTTCAGAGGTGCATGGTGTCAACCATGAACCCCCCAGGGTTCCCGGGGCAGACACACACGACTAGAGTGACCGTCTAGAGTTCCACGCAGGTGCTTCTCAGTCTTGTCTCCCCACTTACTCTGATCAGTTGACTTTGCCACCACAGCACAGTGGAATTGTGAGGCAAAAGTCAGCCTTGTGTGTGTGTGTGTGTGTGTGTGTGTGTAGTTTGTCCAGGTTCCACTAGGCAGGATCCACAGACACAAGTTCCAGAACAGTCTAGTCTGCTTCGGGGTGCAGGGATGTGACAGCCTTGCCCAGTGGCACACCCCCAGTGCAGCCTGTGTCCTAGAAAGTCACATTCTGAAATCTTCCCAGAACCCCACACCTGCCATGCTGTATTTGAATATTTAATGAAGAAATGTGCCTCGCCCCTTGAGGCCTGGGTCAGACGATATCTCCTCAGTATGGTCATCCCCCTATTCCCATAGTGCTTTGCTTGGACCCACTGTTTTCCCAATTTAGCCCTAACAGATTCTGTCATAGTAGTCTTTTCTCTTGCAAGACTTGGAACATCTCGGAGGTGGGGACTGCGTCTCCAACAAGGCCACTGGGACGATGGGTGAGAATTATAGGCGAAGTGCCTCAAATTATTCTCCAAGAGCTTACCGTTCAGCTAATGGTTTGTGGTGTTTCCCAATATGAGAGCGATATTTTGGCTTCATCTGCTGCAGAGGGGGCGTGGAACTTGCCTTTTCTTTCTACCTTGCTTCCCGTTTCCCCTGTGCTTGACCCCAAGGCGAATCCTCGGAAGCTGTGAAGAGAGGGAAGAACTTACCGGAAGCAGAGTCCAGTCAGGAGATGATAGCTCCCCTTCACCCTTTTGGCCCATTTTTTATCAACTCAAACTCCCCATGGGAGTTTTTTTAATTAACTCAAACTCCCCTTGGGGGCCCTTCAGAGCTGGGCCCTCTGGTTATATGTTCCTTTGCAAAGAGAGTAGAGGAGCGCCAAGCCAAGGAAAGGTAATATCGCAGGGGAAATGGGCCTCCTGCTCACTTCAACCTTCTTTCCTTACTGAGAACAGACACACACCAAGAACTTTCTATTTGCTTCCCATTTACACCTCATAGTAACTTTATTTAGTTGGCACTGTTGTTATTTCTCACCTCACATCTGAGAAAACTGGGGCACAGAGAGGCTAGCCCCACATCACAAAGCTGGTAGGGAGCCCAGCAGGTACCGCCCGCCTGGCAGGGACAAGTGTCCACAGTTGCTTCTTCTAGTCCATACATGACCCCACGGAAGGGCCCACTTCTTCCAGGCAGCTGATGTCACCTAGCTGCTGAGAGGATGTGAGGAGACTCATCGATTCCAGCTAAGGTCCGAAAAAATCAGGGACCTGACTGATGTACTCAGCATTTGTGTTTCCAGAAGCATGTGAGGTGGACCTCTCAATGAAGGTCGACCTCTTCATTATCGTGCCTTATCGTTTACATGATATTACCCGTTCTTCTGTGTTCCATAAGACACTTAAAAGAATAAAGGGAAAAAAGAAGAGATTTAGAAAAGGAACTTAAACTGAGTAACACTCTGTCAGTCAATGAGGATTGCAGTAAACTTAATTTTTTTAAATTTATCTTTTTTAAAATTTAAATTCAGTTAATTAGCACGTAGTGTATTATTAGTTTCGGAGGTAGAGTTCAGTGATTCATCAGTTGCATAGCACACCCGGTGCTCATGATATCACGTGCCCTCCTTTTTACCCATCCCCCTAGTTTCTCCATCCCCCACCCTCCTCCCCCGTAGCAATCCTCAGTTTGTGTCCTATGGTTAAGAGTCTCTTATGGTTTGTCTCCCTCTCTGATTTCATCTTCTTTTATCTTTCCTTCCCTTCCCTATGCTCTTCTGTTTTGAAAACTTAATTTTTACAATGAAGGTGGATAGACACCTATCCACCATCCACCTACCCACCTATCCACAAACTAGTTGTGAAGTGTCCCTCACGTTGCAACTGGTAAGCTCATTGTCTCTGTAAGCTTCATGGACCCACGGTGCTCAAGGAGGAGAAAGAAAGAGGGTTGTGAGGGTTTTGAAGATGCATGCCAGGACGCTCCAGCCACCCCAGACCACACAGGAGCCCACAGCCTCCTCCAAGCCTGTGTGCCCATGCTGGGCGAAGGAGCCCACGAGGAAGTCGGAGTTGAGATTTGCATTCTTAGAATAAGTGCTGTCCAATGTTTCTGACCTCTTGTCCCCGGACACCACCCCCACCCTGGAGAGCCGGAGCTTTATTTGAATACCGAAAGGAGAAGAAATGTGCCTTCCTTGCTTGGCATGGTCACCCTTTCTGCCACCACAGTGTTGGCCTCATCCTGTCCCTCTGCCGGAAGACATTCAGGCCCCTAGTCCTGTTCCTGGCTGCTTACGTGTTCCCCCAACTTTGGCCTTCCTGCCCTCTTTGGGCATGTTTTTTGTCTTTATGTCTCTATGTTTATTGAACCTGCTCTGAGGTACTCCTGGAGAAATCCAGAACCCGCTAGGCTCCAGCTTGTCCTGCAACATTAATGATGATGACAACGAATGGATGAGCTCTGCTGCATTTTAATAGGAGAAAATGGCTTTAAGTAAGCCTAGGAGGTGGGGGGTGGGGGATGGGGTAAGGCTGTGGGAAAGTATTTGGAAGCCACTTGACCTAGAGAGTACACTTCCAATCCTTCAGCCAGACACGATCCACCCCGCCCACCAGGGAGGGCCCTTTCATGACAGAGCTGGGGGGAGGGGTGGGGTGCAGCTCTCACCACTGTTAATGCTAGTTTCCCAGTAGCATTTCACACTTACTAAGTGGGTCATTTGAGTTTTGAATTTCCAATTCATCTCCAGATTCTTGACTATTACTATTTCAGGCCTCTCATCTCTACCAAATTTCACTTTGACTCAGACATTTCATCCCATTCCAGATAACAGAGCTAAGACTCAAAGTGAAATTGGCCTGGGTTGATGTAACTCCATTTCTATTGCCATGTGGTCTTGGTTTGTAATAGAAGCTAGAAGTGACCTCTTTTGGCTGTTTTGAGTAGTGAGGTCCCAAAGTACTTGGGAAAGAAAATCCTAGGTCCACAAGGGCTCCAGGGGGTCTGTTGGTGGCCACCTCAACACACAATGTTCCAAATGCATTTGTTTTGCAAAATATACTGATAAAGAAATCATACAGGGAGGCTGTTTGAGGGGGTGGTATTTCCAGTATTTCCAAATACTGCAAAGTATTTGAAAGAAGCTTGCTTAATCTCATATTTATAAACCAGATTCTATCATCTACCTACCTACCTACCTACCTATCTATCTATCTATCTAATCTATTTATCCCTCTATCTGGAGAAAGAGAGAGAAGCTTCTCTCCTTCCAGATAAAGGTGTAGAGGTTTGGTGAAAAACCAAGGCATTGATAGTATCATTTGTTATTTTAATATAAAAACTTTAACCAGGTTCTTTTTATAAATGTTAACAACTTACTCTTTTTAGAGAAGCCCCTATCTAAGAAAATAAAGGACTTATTTCTCATGAGTTATCCTTTTGAAGAACATCAAGTCTTTGAGGAAAATACTGTAGTTAAAAACACTAACCAGGACTCATGTGGGCTTTTACTCTCTCATCTCAGGGATCTGTGAGCTCCCACCTGGGAGGATCAAGAAAAAGTTTAAACATGCCTCTTTGATAAAATTCAAATTCTCGTGTAAGCCACACTCTAAAGAAAAAGTGGTAATTAAGCGGGATTATTACTTTGTCTAACAAAATATAACATATCTTTAAAAAACCAATTCAAGTCCTGCCTTTAAGATATTTCTTCATTACTTGCAAAGACTACAATCTCTTCTCAAATCCCCACCACATTCACAAGATATCTATGAACCTAATGACCTAATTACAAGGTTACCTTGTAGTCTTTAATTGTGAGTTTCATCCTGCGTCCTTTTTTCCCCAGCCCTGTAGATGTTCCGTGAATAACCACTGATGGTTGATGGATTCACTGGGGAAAAAAATTTTAGTCTTTGACACTTTAATTAAATATTTCCCGAATCCTTCTGCTTCACTAAAAGAAAGAACCAAAAGAAATTGGCTCTGGTGGACACAAGAAAGATTAACTTCCTATTTCCAATGAATTAAACTCGAACAAGGGAGCAGCTATAATTCTATAGGACACTGTGGAGTATATGAAGCATTTTCACATTCATGATCTCATTTCTCTTCAGTAGAACCCTGCGGGCACTAAAGGAGTCATTTGGTTTTCCAAACTCTTAAATTTAGAATCATCCCTTCCCCCACCCAGGTACCTACCTTTTCCAGATAGATTAACTGAGATTCAGACAGATTAAGTGACTTGCCTTAACTCATGCCGCTGGTAACCAGCAGAGATGGGAAGCATATCAATGAGTTCTGAACCCCAATCCTGAATTCTTCCTGTTGCAATGAGCTGTTTCCCTGCTTGGAAGAGATTAAAGAGAAATTACGGAATTCCTTCTAATGAAAGTCTTTAGGCACCCTTACGAACACCACAAGCAACCATATTATGCTTGGTAAGATCTGGGTATCACTCTTCCAAAGAGATGAAAATCATTCTTGGTGTAATTTTGAAAAATCTTTGAGCTTAAAAAGTCTTTGGCCTGCCTATAAAATAATTATCAGCCCTGCCCAATATCCTAGAGGAGTTTAGAGAATGGCAGTTTTTAATGCTATGAGTCATACTTTCAATTTCTATTAAAATTCTTATATGGCCACATATGCTTTCTCTCAGGCTCTGGGCCTCCAGGCCTGTGCTAATTTGCATGTCTGGTTTAGATAATGTCTGAGGTCTCTTCCAGTCTGAAAAGAAGCCTCTGATTCTGTTATATAAGTGAGATCGCATTCCACCTACCAAGGATTGGTGGTTCTTTTTCTTTAAAACTGCTGTATTTTTGTCGTGTGGATGCAGGACTCAGGAATGGAAGCATTTCATGCTTACCTACCAGGCCACAAAGATGGAGTATTCCTTCATGACGATCTGACCTGTCCATTCTTCCCACGCTGACCCCAGAGAATTGCCCTTTCCTGCATTTCTGATGCAGCTCAACAGGCAGATCATAGGGCAGTGTCGGGATTTTAAGTTTCTTGATCTGAATGGCAACCCTAAATCAGTGTGAGGGTTGCCAGTTAGCCTGATTCTAAGTCTGCAGAAACTGGGGAACCCTTTACTAGACTAGACTCATCTAACCTCTTACTGTCCTCACCCCAAAAAGCCAAAAAGATACTATTGGGTTTTTTTTTTTTCACTTATTTTGTTGTCTTCCAACTTCAAGTAATTCTCACTAAAGAAAGAGCTAATAAAAGGGCATCGACTTTCCAGGAGCGCTTTCAGATCGATGTAGGGTGAGCCAGCGGTCATTCCTCTCGAGAAAATGTGGTGCTAGGGAGAGATCTGTTCTCACACCATTAGACTGGTCAAGTCTGTGCTCCAATTAGATATTTTTGGTGAGGCCCTCCCCATCCCAGTACTGCCTGCCCCACTTTCAGTGTCTTCTCTTTTCCCGTGGTTCTCACCACCTTCTCATATACAATGTAGTTTACTGTTTGTTTTGAATGTAGGTCCCACAGAGCAGGAATGTTCGTCTAGCCATCTTTGTGTTCCCAGCGCATAGAGCGGAGCGGTATCTGGATTGATAGTAGATGTTCAATAAAATGTGGCTGAATGAATGTACCATGGGATCAGAGATATTGATTAAGTCCAATAAGCTAGTGTTGGGGAGGGGAAGAATCTTGAGTTGGGCAAGGAAAAGAAAGGTGATTAAGACACCACAGTCCCTGTCTTTCAAAAGATCATCATCAAGCAAGCAAGATATGCGCACAGAGAACTATGCAAGAAGAAGAACAGGGCAGGGCAATAAACATCAGACTATCACCAGGGAGCCTTGACCTGTAGACCTTGAAAAGAAGAGGGTGCAAAAGCTGATTTGTGGAGCAGACACAGGATGGTACCCCTTGTGGCCAGAATAAGTGAGGACAACCTCACTGTGAAGGTGTTGGGGGTGGCCGTTCAGATTGGGGGACAGAGGGGGTCGAACACAAGACCACCTCTCCTTTTTCCTCAAGCCCTGTTACTTAAGTGAACTTTCGAGTTTCTTTTCCCTACTTGGAATCCTTTTAAACCTGAGGCAGATTTGACCAAAAAGCCTGCACTTTAGTTGTGTCTACATGGCCCAATGAGGAGGGGAATTTGGCCAAACACCCAATTAATCTAGTCAGTATGAATTGCTTTTCCACATAAGGCTGGCCCCAAAATCCCACTTTGAGTCCTTATCAAAATAAATAAGTCATTTAGACTTTGGTGTCGTTCAGACACAGAGCCCCTGGGAGATACAAAGTGAAGGAAGGGTCCGGGCTCAGCGGGGAGCCTTGCGTGACTGTGGCAAGGTTGTGCCTGGTGAATGGGCCACTCACCCTTCCAAACTTCTCATATTTAAAAACCATCCATTTTTTTCAAGCATTTTTCTCATATGCCTTTTTTTCCCCCCTTCGCACATATAATAATCTTAAACAGTACCTCCATTATACTCCACACAGCGGGGCTGGTGCTGAGGCTGAGGGGCTGTTTGGATTCCAGGACAAGATCCTTGAGCAAAGGAAATCTGATCCAGGATGTTTTTTTTTTCTGTGAGTTCCAAGTTTGAGGAAAGCCTTCCCTAGATATTTCCCTCCTCCCGAGTCTCAGTGGAAGCCAAGATCCTCTGCTGCTCTTTGGAACATAAGATACTACTGAGGTGAAGGCTGGCCTGCCCCTATAGCATGAGTTGAAATGAGGTGAGGGGACACAGCTCTGAGCATTGGGGCCAGCTAGGCAGGGACTGGGGGAGCTGGCAGTCAGGTGGACGCTGGACTCTTACTACCCGAGCCCACTCTACTGCAGGCAGCCCACGGCCACTGCCCCCACCACTGTCTTCCAGGGCCAGGTCTCTCAAACCAGGGCCCAGCCAACCCACTTCTCCTGTGGAAAGTGGGCCACACGTGATTCCCATGGGAGATCACTGATTCAGGAGCATAGCAGTGGAACCATTTCTTCCCTTTGGTGGCTTCTCTCCCTTTTCAAGGCCCTCCTCGATGAACTTTTTAACCTTGACTTACCAAGAGAAACAGTTGAGAGATGTCAGGAAGAGAGAATAAACAACAGGTCTACGGTGTAGATTTGGAAGTTGCTGCTCATCACACGTGGAATTACTCCTCCAGGCTGTCCTCTAAAGCATTTGTTTTCCGCTCTTATAGAGAGGGAGAACCTGAGGTTCGACAGAGCAATGATTTGGCCAAGATCACTCAGCAGAGTAGATGACAGAGCTGGGGTCTGAACCCAGGGCTCCGTGACTCTACCCACCATGACGTAGCTGCTGGAGAAAGCCCAGGGTCTCACACAGAGAAAAGACACCTCCCCCAGGGGTGTCCTGCCCCCCCCCCCGCCACCTGCTGCTCAGGTGCTAGGTGCCTATGCTTCTGAAGTGGGAGGCCAGGCCGGAAGTTCAGATAGCTGGCTTAGTCACTGGCAGGCATTGTAGAGGAGATGGTGGCAGACAAGAAGCTGGCCCGTGGTGGGGGCCAGGAAGGTTCAGGAAGCAGAGCAGGCTTTCACGGGTTGGATGGGTTGCCAGCATCACAGGCAACACAAAGGGAAGCCCAGAGGAAAGTAGTGTGAGTCAGGTTGTTGGCCAGTAGGACCTTCTCCTCAGAGACTGGGCCTGCCAGAAGACCAGGACCTCAGAGGGAGAAGGGGCTTTGGAGGCTCGTCTGGCCCAAACTTCTACCGACAACAAACAAAGCTGCTCCCCTATGTTCTTCCCTGTGAGTGGCTAGGAGATGTAATTTCCTCCAGGTGGGCTGGACCCTCTCTTGGGCAGTTCAGGGCTCTGGGTCTCCTGTGGTATCTTCCCGCTTTCCAGAGAGGAAGTCTGGATCTGACTGAGCATGAGCAGCCTTGTCCATTCTTCAGCTGAAAGGTCTACATTCAGAAGCTGGGTTTTCCAAGGATAAACATGGTTAGGTGCTGCCAGCTCTTTCAGCAGCGACCAGAAATTCGATGAGAAGGTTCAGGGAAAATTCATCTTTTTTCCACCAAGTAATTGAGAGCATGGCCTGTGTCGTAAGGGATCAAGAGAGAGGAGCTTGTGTGCTGGCCCCCAGTGAGGTCATGACAAAGTAGAGAGCTGAGTGTTCACTGGGACATGAGGCCTTCACACAGCCAACCGTGGGCGTCAGAGCAGAAAGAAGCTTTCTTTCCTGAGTCAGTTGGCCAGATTTCTAGAACCCGTTTAAAAGCTTCACACAGAAACTGAGTTAACACTGTGTGGATGTCTATGAGAAGGTCATTTCCAGATAGAACTTTCTCCTTCCAACAGGAACTTTTCAGAAAAAAAATAAAATAAATTTAAAAAAATAAATAAAAAATAAAAATCTCCATGTTCATAGTTCTGTACTGAGAGGCCATTTTGTGTCTGATTCAGCCATGTTTAGCATCACATAATGGTGATACTAGATACTATTTAGGCCATTACATATGTGAGGCTGAATTATCTACAATGCCCAGCAGTGCCCAGATTCTCCAGAATGAGCCTCTGTTCTCTCTTTGCTTTGGACTACTGGAAACCATAGACTCCAGCTGGAGCCCTTTGGGCGACTTCTCTGAGAAGTAGTCACAATGAGATGTGTCATCTTAATATTCTATAAAGCCAGGGAGGGTCAGCTCACCAAAGTGAAAAGACAGCTTGTCAGAGTCAGAGTGATTTTTCTGCCGATAAAGCCATCTGCCACCACATAGAAGATCATCAACTGGTTTTCTGGTCCTTAACGGTCACTTTTTTGAAACTTGTCCTCTCTGTTGCTACCTTAAGCTTGTCTTTTCAGAAGACATTTCTCAGAAAGCAGAAGCATGCACCATACTGGGGGGCTGTGGGGTGGGGGTGGGGGGATCAGTGCACACTCGGGCGGCTGCGTGGACCAGACTCAGGCCATCAGAGAACTCTCCCTGTGCCGACCGGCAGTAGAGCCTCTGACATACCCAGGCATCAGGCCCCAGGAGGGCTGGTGTTGGTGCAGAAATGTGAGCCGCTGGGTTAACTCCCAGGTCCAGGCTTTTCCATTTGGGATATAGACATATATCTGTTTGTCTGTCTGGGACGGGAACTGCCACGCTGCTAAGTTTTCTCTTAATGTGTGATGTCCATTCCTTGACTTCGCTATGGGGACTAGGTTTTAGCCTATGTGCATTGTTGTTCATCGTGTCTCAAGGGCATCCAGAATGAATATGGCCTATACACCTCATCATCTAGTCTTAAAACACCTAGGAGACTTCAGTGGGGAGAAGTCAGGGGAGGGGCCTTGAATTCTGTTCAACTAGTGAAATAGTGAACAATAAGAGGAAGTGGGTATACTTAGCAAGAACAAAATATTGGCCGTCTGTTCATTCATTC